CACCCACACCCCTGTCACAGCAGCATTATGCTCACAATAAACACACACTCAGGCCCTGTTTACACTAATACATCTTCATTTTAAAATGGCTTCTTAGAACGAAAACGATCCATATCCACACTGGTGTTTCATTTAGATTTTCTGAAAGCCCTCTGTCCGCATTATACCACTAAAAACACACAATACATGACCACACACACAGGCATGCACTGCCGCATACCTGCACGTTTGAGCTCCAGGCAGTCATCTTCGGCATCATGTACAAAGACTTGAATTTAATTAATTCTAAAACATTGCATACCAACAAAGCTGTAAATGTGCGTAAGCAGTAAAAAAAATCAGATGTATGAAACACTGCGTACGCAGAATCCCACGCCCCTCGCATATTCTCTTTATACATCCGAATTAATGTTAAACTGAGCGCACGTGCACGAGCACAAAAACCCCTCCCTGTCTCCTCCCCTGTATAAATATGGTAATGACTGCGAAGAAGGGTGGAAGAATTTAGCTGACGCAGTTAACAGTGAGGTCTGAACATCACACTGTGAGTGAATTAAAAAAGAAATGGTCCGATGTAAAGGTGCGGGTTAAGAGAAGAACAGCGGCACTCCGTCAAAGTGTGGATCGAGCAGGCGGGGAAACAGGGGATGCTGAACTAATACCTTTTGAGGAGAGAGTTGCCTCAATTATGGGCGACACTTTACTGTCTGGAGTAGCATCTGTGTCTGTGGTAGACACCGATGTATTAGAGGAACACTTTGTTAAGGCGGTATAGCAGCATGCCACCGGCATTTCAGCTGCCCAATTGCCCGCTCTACAACTCTGCGCTCTTGGTGAGTTAGTGGGTTGTTGAGGGGGGTTAACAGCCATGTCTTTGGTGGAAACCAGGGTCTAATTTTATTTTTAATAAAATTAAAAAAATTTAGCAGTAAAAATGCGGCCCTCCAGGAACTGAGTTTGACACCCCTGCCCTATGGAGAGAAGTTTTGATCTGCAGATTGTCATGCCACATATATAGATCAATACAAAATTGTATGCTATTATTCTGCATTTCAGCTTTTTATCAGTTTTTCTGACCAATCAAATGCTCCGTAGAATTGGAAGTGTCCCACCCCCTCCCAACATTATATAAATAACACCTTGCTAAAGTCATTATTGATGCTGATTGGTTAATTGCTGTGTTTTATTTATGATAAAGCACAACTATGACTACTTTCCTATATAACAGCACGGTTAGCAAAATGGGCAATCAATATATTGTGAAAACTCTTCTGTTTACAGTGTTATGTCAGCCAAAAAAGAAATATCACAGCCTTTTCCAATCAAATAAACTTGTGTGTGGCAGGCTGGAAGCCAACAATTTGTAATGTTTAAAAGTATGTCTAGTACTGTATGTTCATCAAATTTCATTGTTAAATGATGCTTCCTTTAAGTGTAGTCTGTGAATTCACAAAGCAGATCTGGTTGGATTTAAAATACGTAAAACAAATGTATTAGTATAAAGCAGGGAAGACAGAGAGCACTGTTTTTGTAACCTACTTTTTCTTACATTTTACTGTTAGCGAATCACTTAGTTTTCCATACAGTGTCTCTGTGGTGGAGAATGCACTGTCAGCAGGTCTTTTGATCCCGGAGGTGATTTTCCCCTTCATTGAGGCGCTGAAGCCACGCTAACTCTGATAGAGGAGAGAGGGCTCGTTGGCTGTGGTGGAGCTACTGAAGAAAATCCATTCCCCCAATAAATTTTCTGCTGAGGCAGGTACAATGACCTTTAGCGCTCTGATAGGTCACCCATAGGCATGTGCCGTGCTTGTGCATTGATTGCTAAAAACTCTGGCTGCTCTATTGTAAAACCCATCCAAGTGTGAATTAGCTGAGATCAATGAAGTGCGTGGATAAGCCTCTTGTCATCTCATTATGTGCTTGGCTATTTCTTTTAAGTAATAATTACCCAGGAACTTTCACAAGTCCCACATTTGGGAACCTATTCAAGTCTTTGGTAAGAAAAAAAATGTTGGCTATATAGGACTATGAGCTGCTTGACATGTCACTTTGAGAACAATTTTTAGGGTCAAATTTTGAAGGAATAGTTCACTCAAAAATAAAATAAAAAATGACCCCAAAATATTATTTTCAAGTGCAAATGAATGTAAAATTTTATTTGTTCTATCACGTGAACACAGTTGGAGTAGTTTTACATTGTATCCTGGCTCTTCCATGCCATGGTGTTGGGTAGTGGCTTTTATTTTGAAGCTTCCAAAAGTGTAAAAATTAATTTGCCCTCAGAATCTTTAATCACTTATCATTACCTTCTCTCCCCTCTCTAAATTACTTTTGGTCGTTTACTTTTGGTGTCACTTCTGGTCACATGGATTTTGAACGGGACAATTACGGCCTGTCTCATTTAAAATCCAATATCAAAATTCTATTCCCCAAAGGATAAAATTATGCATCCTTACATTTGTGTCTAGTTTCAGTTTCAAGAGGATTTACTTCATGATAAAAGAATTCAAGACTTCACACTTTTAAAGCTTGTTTTCTTGGGGCATGCTGTCCCGGGAGAGAGCCTCATAAGATCCTCGAGCCCAGGGCTCCTTCCCGTTTGAAAGGCAAGAGGGGAATTTGAGCTCAGGTAGATCTCGAGAATATGAACAGATACTGATTGCTTCTTAAGAGATTACTACTTGCTAGGAGCATGTCTATGGTGCTGATTTTGATTAGTCCATTACCTTAAGTTGCATGTTTTTAGATGGTGCTAGAAAACCTAATAACTGAAAGAACTAATAACTGAAACCAGTTCAAATGTTCTAGAAAAAACGTGTTAAAGTAATGCACATATGTAAAAATATGTAATGTCCCCAAAAGCATGTTAAGAGGTGTTTTGACAGTTCAGACCCACCTTACAGGTGAAAAGCTCAATACAGATGGTATTACTTTAGAAAATGCGAATTAAAATCGTCCCATTTGGTTCTGTGAAGGCTCTGTTGGCTCACTATGTGTGTGCGTGCTGATAGCCATCACATGCGCCTGTTATAATCATTATAAATATGCCGATCAAACTGAATACAATTTTACATCATCAAGACATGGCAAGCAGCACATTGATAATAATAAAAAAACATATTAGATTACAAACAACCCAACAAGTTGTTTAACACATGTGCATCGCTTCTATTATGTTTAAACATGTTATATTTTTCCTGAGGTGATTTAAACCAAAATACACAATGACACTCTATCATACATATCTACAATGATGAGTATGGTTACTTACTGAGTTATTAACGCACAGCATTACCACACAAAGAAAGGACGGACTTTGGAGGAATACAACTCCATTACAGTGCACTGGACAAGTCTAAAAGTTTTGACCCACGCATGCGCAAGGCAGGCAGTTCTGTACAATTGCGCAATCTATCGGCTTAAAGATACCTGACTAATTTTGACATCAGAGCGATATGGATAACAATAAAAATAGCATTTATCAGCCGATAACGATATGGCCATCGATGCATCCTTAATTTCATCTTTTATAATCACAATTTAAAAAACAGTTTGCAGTAACACTTTGATTCTCCCTGTTTACCTGTCATAAAAGGGGAAAGCCCCGCCCATTAGTAACTTTCTCTCCCTAATTAGCATGGGACAATAGTCTTGTTTTTTTATGTACCACTATGCTGACACATAGGCATTTGTAGCTCCACCCTCTAAAAAAATTAGACCTGGTAGCACAATTTTATTTGAATTTAAAGCGACTGTCACTAATTAAGGTAAGTGACAGAACCTAAAAGGGGCTGCTTTGGAGAGTTATAAAAAATTATTTGTGGGTTATTTTGAGCTAAAAGGTCACATAAACACTCTAGGGTAGGGGTCACCAACACTGTTCCTGGAGAGCTACCTTCCTGCAGATTTCAGTTGGATCTCTGACCAAACACACCTGTCTGTAATTATCAAGTGCTGCTGCTGGTCCTAATTAATTCGTTCAGGTGTGTTTGATCAGGGCTAGAGCTGAATTCTGCAGAAAGGTAGGATTGGTGACCTCTTCTCTAGGGACAACAGATACTTATTTTAAATTTTGTGAAAAGGGGCATAATAGGTCCCCTTTAACATTCGTTTCAGGGCTACTTATTAAGCAGATAAATGTGTTTGTGTAACAGAATTTTTTATTTTCATATACTCCGATCACTGACTTAGGGTGGCAGCTCTATGCACGTTATGCGTGACTGATGAATACGACATATGATGGAGGATGTAAGCTGGGCAAACACTTGTGTAATACTGTATAACATATACAGTAATGCCTAGCCAACTAGTTATGTTGTTTATTGTCATCTTCTGTGGTAAACAAACTGTGCTGCAAGTGGTTCCTGTGAGATGCATCTATTCTCTGAGTTTCTGTTACAAATATACATACATCGTACATGTCTTTCGTGCATATATATGAGGACGAATGAGGCAGAGGTGAATATAGCTGTGTAAGAATTCCTATTTAAATTACGTTTGTTCTGCATGTCAAACTACTGTAGGATTGCATTTGGCAGATGTGTAGACAAGAACCAAAAGTACTTAAGCAAAACTATATGAATATGTAAACCATTACATCCCAACAACTTTATACATTTGGTGGGGTCTTACAGCCACCAATTTTATCAGTGCCTTAGTGGAATTGAAGTTGGATATTATTAACCAGCCAAAGCTCCAAACAAACATAGTTTGGCCTGATTTTGTTTAAAATGATGACACACCAGTTTATTCTTCAGTTTGGTTAATGTACACTGGGACATGTGAATCTGCTAATTATATTCCAACAGTTTTGCTTTAAGCAGTAATCTTCTTTAAATCAACATAAGTGTAAAAATGTATAAATATAAGACTGGACTTGGTTTTGTTTCTTTAAATTTGCTTGGATGGTTGTGGTTTGATGATTATGAGGCTCATGTATTTATAGAATTTTTTTAGACTGTATTGAGTTAATGTGTGTGTGTTTTTTATGTGTCCAGGTGCCCACGGAGTGAGAGAGGAGCCCCAGTTTGTGACGGCCCGTGCAGGAGAGAGCGTTGTTTTGGGATGTGACGTGAGCCACCCCCTTAACGGCCAGCAGACTCCCTATGTTGTGGAGTGGTTCAAATTCGGTGTGCCTATTCCCTTCTTCATCAACTTCCGCTTCTACCCTCCTCATGTGGACCCTGAGTACGCCGGTAGGAGCCAGCATTCATCTGAAGTCCAGGGTTTAATCCCAAATAATAATGTAGTTAATTCAACCACAAATGCTCACAATTGCTCTTTCTATAGTGAATGATTGTCTGACACAGTGAGGTTTTTAATAGCTCAAACTATAAGTTTTTTTAATAGTAATTCGAATAGAAGACCCTAATGAAAATTAGAAATGATGTCTAACTGACTGAAATAATAAGTTGAAATACTAAAGTTATAAAATGAAATAAAAAAATATGTAAATAAAAATGTTGCTGAATGAAAAACAAATAAAGTTTTAAATTACTTAGAAATTAGAAATGTTGCTTCACTAAAATAAATAAAATTAAATTAAAAATAAAAAAATTAAATTGAATTAAATTAAGTTAAAGTGTGATGCTGTGGCACAGTGTGTAGCACGTTTACTTCACAGCAAGAAGGTCACTGGTTCGAGCCTTGGCTGGGTCAGTTGCCAATTCAGTGTGAAGTTTGCACTCAGGTTTGCAACTTATGTTTGGTACAGGTGTATTAGGTATGCTGTAGTGTATAAGTCTGTTTGTGAATGAGTTAGTATGGATGTTTCCCAGTTATGGGTCGCAGCTGGAAGGGCATCCGTTGTGTAAAACATATGCTGGATAGGTTGGCGGTTCATTCCGCTGTGGCAGCCCCAGATTAATAAAGAGACTAAGAAAAAAAGAAAATAATTCAATTTAATTTAATTTAACGAATTAACCATTAACTATTTAAAAACCTAAATGTAAATAAGAAATACATGAAAAAGTTAAATAATTAAAATTACTTAACCTAAAAAATACAATAAAATTAAATACAAATATCTTTATTTCATTATTATGTCATTTTTACAATGACCATTTTAGATGATTTATTCTATGTTGAAATGAGATTTTGACTCGCACATTTTTAATGTGTTTTAGAGTGTTTCTTTTGGGAAGATAGTAAGTTAACATAAAGATTATACAAGCATCAGAACCACCACAACCAGCCTCAACCAGATAAAAAATTCCTGCAACAATAATCGTGTATGAATTGGTTTTTTAAGGCTGCATTTACACTCGGTTACATGGTTCAAGTGACCCAATTCCGATTGCTTTCTCTCATGTGGCACAGATCTGATTTGGCCCGTGTTCGTGTAAGCAGGAAAAAATCACAAGGATTTTGATTTACGCAAATCAGATTCAGGTCTTGTTGATATGTGCAAATTTATCCAGTATGAATCGGATCTGTGTTCTTGTGTCTGCAGTGTAAGCAGGTAGATCAGATTTTAACCGGTCAATGTGAGTTGCGCATCATTAAAAACCATAGCGAATGACGTCAAGTCTGACGCTTTCATTTCAGAACAGACTTCAGCAGAGTCACAAACTTTAAACCTCATAACACAAGGACTAAAAAAGCTTTTATATTGTCATATAGCACAAGTATTTAAGCATGTTTATGAAAGAGAGAGAGAGAGAAAGAGAGAGAGAGAGAGAGCCAATAAAGTACGAGTGGGTCATTAAAAAATTCAGATATAGCAAGAAAATCGGATTTGACCATCAAGATCTGCAGTGTAAATGCAGTAAGTTTGCTCTGATTACATTTATCTACTCATGATGGGGAAAAACATTTAAAGTTCTGGTCACACCTGCAGTCTTCTGTCAGAGTTTGAAAGTGCTGAATCTGATCGAATGTGTTCATTTTGTGTGAGGCTGCTGAGCGCAGGCAGAGTTTTTCTTTGTTTACTACTTAATGTGAAAGCAAGAGCTTTGTCCGACCCGGAAAAAAAAAGAGTGTGAGCAGCCCTTGACATGGTTTGTGAAAAGCTTCTGTAAAGGCTGCACTCATTCTCTTTCAAGGTGCATTACAGAAGCTTAATTACCGCAGATCTGCTGCTGGTCGTCTGGCTGAAAAATCACTCGTTGTCAGCACTTCTCCACCACACAGAGCTGCTTGAAACACATCAATCTCTTTGACTGCTAGAGATTATTTAATCACTTAAAGCGGACATGTCCTAAAACTCTGACTTTTCCATGTTTAAGTGCTTTGACTGGGTTCTCAATGCATCTTTTAACCCAGAAAACATGAGAAAGGACTACCCAGTAACTTTGTTTTGGTATGCCTTTTTCTGAAAATGTGTAACAATCAGATTCTCATATCTCTCTCTGTTAGTAATGCAAGATAGGGATCTTTATACATATTACCATTTGTCAATCTGAACGTTTCCACCCACTGCACCATCACAGCAGTCAACATTTCTGTTTACTTGCTGTATAATCTAGAGATTTACATTGTCTGTGCGAGGAATTACATTACCAATGTGTGACAGACTTTTTGTGTTCTGTAGAAAAAAATAATGAATCGAATCAATTTTACAATTTTACACTGAACACACTTTTCTGTTCTGTGAATGCGAGGTGCACCGCACTGCCCTTTTTTGTTGACAGGACAGCTGCATATTGTGTGTTTGCATTGCTGTTGATATCATAATTGTAATATTTAATATTATTTGATAATAATTTTAATAATATAATCGTGATATTGTAAGATTTGTGAAGTCAAACAGCTCTGGATAACTTGAAACAGCGACCACAAGTCTCTCCTCCATCTGTAAAAGTCTCCATAGTCATCTTTACAACACAAACACTGCTGTCACCTCAACGCAAGGTATCCACGGGGTCTGAAAAAGTTTTAAAGTGTCCTAAATTTCAAAAACTAAATTTAAGAACTTAAAAAGTCTTAAATTGAAATATGCTGTTGTGGGTATTAAATACTTTTAAACAGGCCTTACTTTTCACTAATTGTCCATGCAAAGCTAAAGACAAATGGTACAACCATCAAATCCATCTAAAAAGGTTTAACAAACAACATTTATTAACTAATTAGCAATATGGTTTAATTATCTTCCTTACATCCTCACAATAACATTTGTTTAAAAGTTATCTGTCTTTATGCATACATTTCTGTTGTGCAAAAATGTTATTTATTATAGGTTTTAAAACTTGTGTTTTTTAATAACTGATCTAATAACTGATTTATTTTATCTTTGCCATGATGACAGTAAATAATATTTTACTAGATATTTTTCAAGACACTTGAGTTTTACCATTTTTGAATCCATTCAGCTGGTCTCTTGTTCTGTCGATAGCACTTTCAGCTTAGCTTAGCATAGATCATTGAATTGCATTAGCATCTTGCTCAAAAATGTTTAAAAAACAACTACCGCCAGACAGTTTAACTCTAGGGGAGTTGTAAAATGAGCCTTTTTCCAAAAAAAAGTGGAGTGTTTCTTCAAAAATTGTATATTTACCCTCGGTTTGGGATCTACATGTAGCATCTTTATATTGCAATTACTCATAAATCCTCTTTACCCATACAATAAATAATTGATTTCAGTAAGGGAGAGCAAGGGGAAGTGAATTAACCATCATCTCTCTATTTGCTTGTGGCCTCTTTGCATTTTAAATGAGCTATGAGATGTAATGTTCAGTGGCTGTGACTGTACATTACAGTCTCCTGTGGGCACTACAGCGCCACCATGACAGTTTCTCCACACCACAAGCCTTTATTCTTTCCGTGTGCACACAATTACAACTGAACTCCAAAAGGCAATTACTGTAACTCACAATGCAATTTTGTGCTGCAGAAATTCCCAACTCCCAATTCTTCCACCAGTTTGGCATATTAGGAAAGCCCATTGTCTTTCAGACAGACAATCATTGCAGCAGTTTAGATGTGATTTACACAGGCTCTGCTGAAGTGATTTTTAGCTAGAGGCAGATTGTGTTCATTCAGGACGGTGTGTTTACGGGCCCCTAAAATGCACTGCACAAATGTATCCACAGTCAGGAGGCCTGCAGGAGGATTTTAGTAATTAAGCGCCTAACGAGTTTGGATAATGAATGACCGTGTGTGCTCTGTGTAGAGAGAGCAGTGTATAAATTCATTCCTCTGAGGGGAGCACTCGCAAACTATTATTCAGAAAACTATAATTCAAATGTGTATTTTATATTCATATTTTAATATTTTCAATTGTTTATGTTGAAAAATAAATCTCTTATCCTCACCAAGGCTGCATTCATTTACAGTGAAATTGTAATGTTGTAAAATATGATTAGTATGTTTATATTAGAGGTGTGAACCTACACTGGTCTCACGGTTCAGTTTGGCTCTGATTTTTTAGGGCATTGATTTGGTTCAATTCGATTTCTCGGTGCATTGACGATGCTTAATACATAATTTTATATTTTAATTTACAGCTCAATAATTCTTGTATTAAAATTTATAAATAAATGTATATTTACATACTATTTGTGATACAGTTTTGTCCTTTACTTGCAGTCATATATATGTACCTTTAAAAACTCAAGTACATGCACAAAACAACATGAGCATTTATAGTAATTAAACAAATGTAAATATCCTCTTGCTTTCTGAGCATTGTCGTGTGGGTTCTTACACCCTTATGATTGGTTATGTACTCAACAGATAGGGCTGCGATTAGCTCTAACGCTAAACAGCAGCGGCGATCACAGCTGATCCATGATAGACGTGTTGGAGAAACTCGCTCTACAGACACGCACTTGTGTCTGTATCCAGAAGTATTGCTGTAACCGCCAAGAGGAGACAGCAGGTTAAGGTCCACATTGAGAGAGAGAGAGAGAGAGAGAGAGAGAGAGAGAGAGAGAGAGAGAAATGGAGTTTACTTTCATTTTCTCTATTACAGTAAATAGGCCTGTGCGATTTGAGAAAAATATCTAATTGCGTTTTTTTTTTTTTGTCAGAAAATGCGATTTCGATTTGATTTGCAATTTAATTTTGTAGTCAAGCTTCAGCTTAATCTGTATCGTAGCTTCTTACTGCTAAAATGCAGCAAGTGTTAATTTAAAATGCAACTAAAAGATATTATGTAACTTAAACATTTATTCAAATTTAATTCAAGGACAGTGAGTTTGGACAACCAGCTCATTCATGTATGTAACGAAGACAACATTGAGTCGTCATCAAACTACACCTTTGTTCAATATGAATAGGTGCCCTCTAGTGGTAAAAAATACATACTGTGGCTTTAAAAGTTAAAGATTTCTTTACTGGTAGCAGTGTTATAGGAAACAGTTGTTATAGGCTAAATTTTCTGCTGTGGTTCCCAAACTTTCATATGTTAACTCAGATTCATTAAGAAAGAATAACATTATCAAACGTGACCTGAAACCCAAAAGTTTCAACGCATGAAGTTAAGACAGAACACTGAATTTTAAGTCTATAGCTGGAAAGAAAGTAATGCAGTCCTGCTGTCAGCGGCTTTGAAAATGACTACTGTTTGGGGTTACATTCAGCGTGAAGATGCAGTCTAACTTTGATGCCGACGCTGCCCGATCCCATCAGTACTTTATCACCCTGCACGAAAATAGCGGTGATTTTTGAAGGCCTTATTTTTTTACTGCAAGACCGCAGCCTCCTCTGCCCCATGCCATATTGATTTTCTGCTCTGGAAAGCTGCCGTTTCCTCTCTCAGGTGCAGTTGTGATCCCAGTGCTTATGATATCTACTGCTCAGTACACAGCAGCATGAAGTATGAAGGCCGGCCGGAGTGTAGATACACGAGTCTGAGACTTTAAAAACATTCATTCCCAGCTAAAGTCCTCAAACAGGCAAATGAGAGATGGTATCATGGTATTGGACGGTTCTAGAGTAGCTTAGTTCAGTCGTAGAGATGCTTGACTGCACAAACTTCTCTCTCTTCTGTAACTATTTGTGTTGTCAGGTTTGCTAAGCCTCTAAGTACAGAACGTGTAGCACTCTGATGTGAGCTGTGAGATTTGTACTTTAGTACAAAGTATAGAGATTGTGTGGGAGGGCTGAAATTAGGGGAATACTGCTTTGCTTTTTGTAATGTTAGAAATTGTTGTACTGGCTGGTTTACTGTGTGTCTATCTGTGTACCCATATAGAAATTCGCTACATGGCAATGTATGCAAATTACATATATGACGTACAGTACATACATTTCACATAATTTATTTGCCATAATACTCTAAATAAACAATACAAAAACACATTTACAAGACTATCATAGATGTAATTACAATGTTATACTAATGTAGTAATAATAATGTTATTACAAAGTAATTACATCCTAAATAATAGTTTGTAATTACATATCTACTGCGTATATTAACAAATAAATACACAAATACTGTACATGAAATATACAAATGAACAGTTAAGTTAATGCATATTATATTGAATGTAACTACATTGTAATTACAGTGTAATGACAGTAGTTATAATGCAACAACACAGTAATTGCACACAACACAAGTTTTTAATTACGTTATATCGCAGATGTATTTGTTATAACAAGGTAATTACATCTCAGATGTAATTACAATTTTATAATAATTTTATACCAATGTCATTACATTCAAAATAAAAGTTTTAATGACATATGTACTGTCTATATTAACATAAATACTGAACAATCGTACTCGAAATATACAAAGAAACATATTTATAAATATTATCTCGGAAGTTATTACAATGTAATAGTAGTGTAAAAACATAGTAATTATGTAATAATGTAACAGCACAGTAATTGCATACAATATAAAATATTGTAATTACATGTGTGCTTTGTATATTTACATATACAACTAAAATACTGTGCATGCATTATACAAAGAACTATTTACATGTACAAATTTTATCTTAAATGTAACAACAATGTAATTTCATGTATTGTCATAGTAATTACAATGTAATGCCTTGATAATTACATCCAAGATAAATGTGTAATAACATATTACAACGTTATAGCAATGTAATTACAATGTCTTAACAACAATATAACAATGTAATTGCAATATTATCACAATATAGTAATAACAATGTTATTATGATGTTATAACCGTGTAATTACAATGTTATAACAATGTTGTTCTTACAATGTTATTACAGTGTTTTAACCATGTATTTACAATGTTACTTGAAAATAGTTACATCCGAGATAAATGTTTGTAATTACATGTTACAATGTTATAACAATGTAGTAATAACAATGTCATAACAATGTTATAACAATGTAATTACAATATTACCAAAATGTAGTAATTCCAATGTTATTACTATGTTTTAGCCACATAATTACAATATTACTACATAGTAATTACATTCAAAATAAAAGTTTGTTATTACAAATCTGCTGTATACATAAATACTGTACATGAAATATACAAAAAACATTTTTCATACATATTATTTTGGATGTATTTACAATGCAATAGCAATGTAGTTACAATGTAATTGTATAGTAAATAAGTTTGTAATTACATGTTTACTGTGTATATTTTTGTATAAAACTACAAATAAACAAATACTTTACATGCACTATACAAAATATTTACATGTATAAATGTTATCTTGGATGGAACTACAATGTAATTACATGTATTGTCATAGTAATTGCAATGTAACAGCTTAACAACTTAAGTAATTACATCTTAGATAAATGTTTGTAATGACATATTACAATTATATAACAATGTAATTACAATGCTATAACAATGTTGTAATTACAATGCCATTACAACCATGTTATAACCATGTGATTACAATGTTTTAACCGTGCAGTAATGACAATGCTATTAAATTGGTATAACGTTGTAAGTAAAATGTTTATATATAGTAACTACATCCAAAATAAAAGTGTTTAATTACAAATCTGCTGCGTATATTTACATATAAACAAATGCTGTACATGAAATATACAAAGTTCTCCCTCTCTTCTCTGATGGGACAGCAGGCCAAATAAAAGGTTACTATGGGCCAACTTTGGCCCGAGGGCCCTAATTTGGGCATCTATGATCTAAACATAGTTATTGTATTCTCTAAACATGTACAGTACATGCTTTTTAAATAAAAGTAATGATTACATTTCTTAACCCTGACCCTGAATTAATCCTACATCCATCTTCATTCATTCATTTTCCTTCGGCTTAGTCCCTATTTCAGAGGTGGCCACTGTGGAATGAACCGACTACATCCATCCAAACATTAAAATTTGTATTCTCTAAATGTGTACATGCTTTTAAATTAAGGTAGTGATGCATTTGAATTTACTCAGGCTATAATCAGCACATGCATAAAAATGTGAAGACTGTGTTTGTGCATGCCTGCCTGTCATTGACTGCAGTGAATCCATTGCAGCAGTCTCACTCTGCTCTGCTTTGCTTTTTTGCTTTCAGGGAGAGCCAGCCTGCATGGCAAAGCATCTCTGCAGATCGAGCAGGTGCGCTCTGAAGACCAGGGCTGGTACGAGTGCAGGGTCCTCATGCTGGAGCAACAGTACGATACCTTCCACAACGGCAGCTGGGTTCACCTTACAGTTAACG